TGCTTTAGACATATCTTGTAATAAAACCCATAGTTCCTTGGAGTATATGTTGGCCTCTTCGATTATGTGTGTTAAAGTGGTGATGGGTAGTGTTGTAGATGTGTAAGGGAGTGCAACATGGTTGTTTCCGTTTAGGATTAGATACCTAAACAATATTTTGTTGAGTTTATTTGTAATTATTTTTGTAAAAATCTTTCTGGAGTGTTCTATAAAAGTGATAGGTCTAGTGTATTCTAGATATCTAATAAATATTTGTTTTTTAGAAATTGGGTAAATTCTGCTATGTTTCTATAATACTAGTATTTGTTGTAGTTTTAAACAGGCGTTGAAGATATTAAGTAGTAGAAATAGTGCTGTTGCATCAAGGTGTTTTAGTATTTCGTTTGATATGTTTTGTGGGCCTGTTGCTAGGGTTATTAATGGGTTGGGTTGGGTTGGTTTGGGTTGACCCAATCATCAACCCACTCCACTAAATTAGACTTACTTCAAAGCTTTACTCTGGGTTGCTCCATAGTACTCCGGGTTGCTCCAGGTTGCTCCAAATTTAAAGGCATAATTTTAAACCCACTCCAACTTGGGCTGGGTTTTACTCTGGAGTGCTCCGGAGTAAGCTACTCCATTAACAACCCTACCTGTTGCTTTGTTGTTGAGTGTTTCTTTTATAGCTGTATAAAGTTCTTTTATAGTAATTGTACTGTCGAGATCTTTATATCAGGGAGCTTGTATTCTGGGTATTGGATTGTACTCTTGTTGCCATGTATTCTATTGGTTGTTATCAGTAGGGTTTAGCTTGGTCCAAGATTCATAGTAGTCTCATATATAGTTTCTAATCTGAGGAGGTTCTGTAATGGCTTGGGTAGGTATACAGATGTTGTGTAGGATTACTGGGTTAGTATGTCATTTAAGTATATTGTTGATCATCTTGGATGTGTTAGTAGCAAAGTTCTCATTTCTGTTTTCTATATGTTGGTTTATTGTCTGTGCATGAGCAATGTTGTTTTCGATTTTTCTTGTGTGATAGATCGTTTTTTGTATTGTTCTAAGTTTGTTTATTGTGGTATTGATGTTGTTGTTAGTGAGGTCTATATCTGTGATTGGGCTGATTGTTATTTCACTCTGTTTGTTTATTAGTTGGATATCAAAGTTAATTAGCTGTATATTGTAGTTTGTGTTAGTGTTGCTACTAAGGTTTCTAATTAGTTTGTTAATTGTTTTGAGAGCAGAGTGTAATGTCATAGCCTTTGTAGAGAAAACAAAAAAGGTTTTTGGTAAGGTTGTTGTGGTAGATATGTGTTTTGCTGCTGCCTGTTTTACTGCTATATAGAACTCATGCTAATGTTTATTGAGGGTTGAAAGATTTATTATTTGTTTGTTATTAATTTTGCTTTTAAGAATGGACTTTTTTGCTTTTTAGGTAAAATCTGTCTATGAGTCTGCTGTCATTTGGTTGTATTGGTAAATTATTCTTTTACATCTTTTGTTTTTGTTATTTTTGATCTTAGGGTTGTATTTTCAGTCTATGCAGATAATTTTGTGATCACTATCAGTAATTAGATTGGCTGACAGAAGTTCAGAAGGGTTATCATATGTATTAGGTAGTTTGGTACTCATATATCATCGATTTGGCTTTGTATTTGTTGTCTGCTCCAAGTTGGTATCGTGATGTTAAAGTATTTAAGAGTGCTTGTAAGTCTGTTGGTTTGCATAGTTTGGAAGATAGGAATACTTTGGTTGTGTTTGCTGCGGTCATAGTTAAAGTCTCTGAGGACTATTGTATGATAATTTTTTTTGCTAGCTTGCTCTATCCACAGTATGACTGTTTGTTGTATATGTGATTTTAGATCATTGTTGTTTGATAGCAGATATACAGAGATAATACAGGTCTTGTTTTGGTTCGGAAAGAATAGATCTATTGCAATTGCTGTGCCAGGATGTGTGATAATATTGTGAATATATGGTCTGAGTGGTTTGGTAATGGCTATCGCTGTGCCCATGCTTGCCTCTTGTATTTTTGCAGTTGTAGTGTCGCAATTTGCTGTATATATATAGTAATAAGGATTACTTGTTTGTAAGCTGTTGTATGTAGATTCTGCTAGTTTTGTTTTAGTCATGCTTATTATATAGTATTGTTGCGTGTTGCAGAACTCGAACCATAGTTAGGTTTTTAGTTTGGTATTTAAGCCTTGTATATTGTGTGTTGCTATTGAAATTCTGTTATAAATAGGTGGAGCATTGTCTTGGTTGTGTGTAGTAGTATTGTTATTTGTTGTTGTATGGCTTATAGTTGTATTAGGCTATGATGTTAATGAGTCTAATTAAGTTTCTGGGTTGTTGTATTGAATCATAGTTATTGAGAAAATATTCCTCAGGTGGGCTCTGGGAGTGGTGGGAGAGCTAAAATAGAGTTGGGTATAGATTTGATTGTAAAGTATCGGTGTAGAATGCTGAGGGTCTCAGAAGCAGTTTTTTGGGTTATGATAAGAAGAGTTAGTTGGGCTATATCGATGTCATTATTCTTGAGGTAGACAAAAATTTTGTCTATTTCCTCTGATATTATAGGTTTCTCTATTAGAATTTCTGCAGGTTTAGCGATCTCTGTTGGGTTAGTGTAAATTTTTATCCATGAATCAGAGATGTGGTAGAAGTAGTATATTTCTTTTTGAAGCCTGACTACTTCTGTTAAAATTTTAGTAGATGTGATAGGAGTTAGTATACTATATTCTGTAATTTGCTGTAAGTCATCTGGAAGGTCAGGCTTTTCAGTCAGGTTGACTGCTATGATATCTGGAGATAGAGGCTGGTTGAATTTGTAGGTTAGACCGATATTATTTATGAAGTCCAAGGCTTCTTGTTTGTTAGTAATTGGGTATAAGTATTCTTTCATAGTTTTGATTTTGCTGGGGTCTTTGGGTCGGTGTTGTTTCACTTGGTAGTAGTCATTAGGTAGGTTTCTAAAAGTATATTCTTCTCATAGTTCTTCTAATATTTTT